GTAGGAGTCTGCTGGTGGATTTGGCGAGGAAGTGAGGAGGGCGTTCCAAGCAAGGCTGGGCAGCATGGGAGAGAGCCCAGAGCCATACAGCCAGGAGCAGGTTTCAGGAACTGAGGCCTGAGCAGAAATTCAAAGGGTGGGGGGGATGAAGAGTGGCTGAGAGGGCGGCTCCAGCTCCTGCAAGAGACTGGCTGCCCCATAAAGGAACAGGGGTCTTCTACCTTGACGGCAGAGTGGGGCCTGGGAAAATTCAAAACCCCAATCGGCCCGGTCTGGCAAGGCACGGGTTCCGGTGACGAGATGTACTAGAGGACACGCGCCTGGAGCAGAGAGCACAGAGCCATGGCAGCAGCGGTCCGGGCTGGAGCGGACTGCCCCTCAATGAAGCAGGCTCAGCGGCGTGGAAGTACAGGACGACAAAGAGGTAGGACTGCCTGCCTGCACGGGGTCAGACACTTGGTTCCAGGGAGACTCCCAGACGGAGGGACCGTGTGCACAAAGCTACACGGACTTGAAAGCGCACTGCCATGCCTGCAGAGAGGGCAACTGTCCCAAAGAGTAGACCGTGCAATGGGGACTTGTTCTGAGAGATAAAAAAAAAAAAAAAATCGGGACGCCTGGGTGGCTCAGTTGGTTGGGCAGCTGCCTTCGGCTCGGGTCATGATCCCAGCGTCCTGGGATCGAGTCCCACATCGGGCTCCTTGCTCATCAGGGAGCCTGCTTCTCCCTCTGCCTCTGCCTGCCATTCTGTCTGCCTGTGCTTGCTCTCTCTCCATCTCTCTCTCTGACAAATAAATAAATAAAATCTTAAAAAAAAAAAATCAATGGAGACTTGTATTGGGGAGTTATGAACAAATATGTGTGCTTAACTGGAGTGCTGTTCCCAAGCATCATTCCCTGCCAGAGAGCAGAGTTAGAGACATACCCCCAAGATACGGCAGGTTTGATTCCCAACTACTGCAATAAAGCAAATACTGCTACCAAGCGAATTGAAAGAATTTTGTGGTTTTTTCATGCCTATAAAAGTTATGTTTATGCCACACTGTAGTCTATTAAGAGCATTATTTCTTAAAAAAAAAAAAAGTACAGCGTATGTGTCTTAATTTAAAAATTCCTTATTGCTTAAAAAAAAAAAAAATGCTAGCCAGTATCTGGACTTTCAGCAATTTGGAATTTTTTTTGCTGGTGGAGGAGGGTCTTGCCTTGATGCCGATGGCTACAGATCAGGGTAACTCGTTGCTGCGGATTGGGGTGGCTCAGCAATTTCTTAAAACAAGAAAAGAGGGAAGTTTGCTACATCAATGATTCTTGCTTTCATGAATGATTTCTCTAGAGCACAAGAGGCTGTTTGCTAATATTTTGCTCACGTTAGAACTTCTTTTAAAATTAGAGTCAGTCAAAAAAAAAATAAAAATAAAATTAGAGTCAGTCCTCTCAAATCCTGCCTCAGCTTTAACAACCAAGTTGATGTCATGAAATTGCAGCAATTCAACTATAGTAATAATGACAGAGTTTGTTGAAATAACGAAAACATTGCAAGAACTACCAAAATGTGCCACAGAGACACACTGAGCAAATGCTGTTGCCAAAAAAAATGGTACAGATGGGGCACCTGGGTGATTCAGTCGGTTAAGCATCTGACTCTTAATATCAGCTCAGGTCATGATCTCAGATCCTGGGATGGAGCCCTGCGTGGTGGGGCTTCCTGCTCGGGGGGGCATCTGCTTGTCCCTCTGCCCCTCCCCCCTACTTGTGCCTATATATCCATCCATCAGTCTTACTGACTTTGGGCCCATTCAGAGCGCGGGCTTTATGAGACATCCCACCCTTCCTTTCTTCCTCCAGCTCTAACCACAAAAACAACACCTACCAGATCAAGGCAGGTCCTTCAGCCTGCGTTCTGAAGGGAGAAGACACATGGAGCAGATGTGTCTGGCTGGCACGGGGAGCACAGCCACGAGACCACGTGGCTTCCTGCTCTGCAGCCGCCACATAAGGCAAACCATAAACTTTAGCAGCTGTCAGCGAAGACTGGAGGATTGTTTGTTACACAGCACAGCTGCAGCAAAAACTACCCAATACACACGAGCCAGGTGAGATGAGAAGGGAGCAGATGGTGAAGAACCTTCCACATCACGAAGGTTGTGCATGTGGAGGGTCAACAGAGAATTCTGTAGCTGATAAGCTTTCTCCCCTTTGTTCACTCACATCCAGCCTCAGAAGTGGAGACATCCATCCTTCTTTCAAACCAACCTCCCGGCTCCCTCCTACTCCCCCTAGCACCTTGCTCTACTGGCCAACCTTCCCTCTCCTGGACTGAGTCCTTCCCCCGAGCCTCCATTTCCCTTGTCCTTTGCATCCTAAAATCCCTTCCTTCACCCTGTCTTTGGACAACTGTAGCTCAATCTCCCTCTGGCCTTTTCAAACAAATTTCTTGCAAGAGCTGCCTGTATTCACCGTCTCTGCTTCTTTTGCTCTCAGATCTCAGCGATCTAGCTTGCCTGCCCTCCATTCCACCAAAACTACACCCAGCAGATTTCAGTCATCTCCTGACTGCCCAGTGCATTTTCCTGTCCTTATCTTCCCAGACAGTTCTGCACCATTTAGCATGGAGCCAAATACATTATCCCTGCCCTTGACCCAAACATTCCTCTTTATATATTCTCCCAGTGGTGCCATCATTCATCCAGTGACCCATGATGGAAAGCCAATATGAGATGATGAGTGCTGTTCCATTCTTGTCAAGTCTGTAGTGTGGCTGAGACCTCCAAGAAGAGATGCCCAACGGGCAGTTAAACATGTGAATCAGGGACCCAAAATGGAAATGTGAACTGGAGATAAGATGATTGTCCTGCAGGCTGCATTTAAAGCCATAAGCATGGACGAACTTGCCACGTGTACAGAATAGGAGGACCAGGTCTTAAATCTCAGGTGATACACGGAGAGCTCACCTGAGCCCAGAAATCCACACTCCTAAGGTCACAATTCCAACTACTGGCCTCCAAACTACTATCTTAGTCCATATTCTGTCCCCAGTTCATGCTGTATCCTCCAACAACCTTTACAATTCCATTGTAAAAATAGAAGGTATGAGATACCATCAGCCAGCCCCTAAAATAACTAAAATCAAAACAACTGATGCCACCAGACATCGTCAAGGGTGTGGAATAATCATGAGCCTCATACATTTCTGGGGGATCACTCCCACGTGAAACAAATGTCCACAAAAGAATTCTACAAGAAATTAAGAGCTCGACTGGAAATTACCCAAAATGTTCATCAACAAGAGACTTAATAAATAAGCCAATTGTGGTATACCCATCCGGAACGTGTACTACTCAGAGATAAAAAGGGACAAATACTCATATATGTAGCAATACAGATGACCTTGAAAACCACTAAGTCAAGTGAAATAAACTTGAGATAAACAGTACGAGTCCATTTACGTGAAGCCCAAGAGCAGGGAAAATTAATCAATGGTAATAAAATCAGAAAAATGGTTGCCTGTAAGGACAAAGGAAAATTAGTTTGGCATGGGAACTTTCTAGGATGATGCAAATATTTACATTTCATTTTGGGTAGCAACAACACAGCCACAAGCGACTGCCAAGACATGTTTGAACTGAACACTTAAGATCTGTGGATGCTATTGTGTGTAGATTATTCTTTAATGAAAAATTAGAAAAATAAAATAATTTTAAGTATCTACAAAAAAAAACCCCACTCAACTAAAAAAGAAACTACAGTGCAGAAAACACACCTGTTTCAAATATGATTACATTTATAGTATGAAGGCCCAGTCTCCCACTTACTGCTGCCCCCCCCTTTCAGCCCGTCTCCCCTCACCCTTGCTCCCATCTTAATGACATCTGTCCATTAGCCATTTTTTTTAATCCATCATGAGAGATAACATAATGTAAAGAGCACAAGACTTAGAGTCAGACAGAGCTGCAGTCCAATCCCAGCCTCGAGTTAAAAGCTGAATGATGGGGAGTGGGGGGCGGTGAGCCCCTTGGCCTCTCTGAACTCCCCACCCTGTCTGGCTGGGCTCAGATGGGGGGCCAGTGTACCCACTAGCTCCTGCTGAACGCATTTCTTTTTTATCTCAGCCTGTGAAACCAAGTCCCATGTGAAGTTCCACAAAAGTCCTAAGGAAAAACAAAACAAAACCTCAGACCATACGATTCTTCCAGGAGAAGGAGATGGACCTGAGGCCCTGGAGTTAGGGTCCAAATGAGCCGGTGCTAACAGCTGGCAGAATGGCTGCTCAGAGCCACCAGGGCCAGGGAAAGGGGCTCCCAGCCCAGGACTCGGGGGACAGGTTTCCTGGCAAGGTCTGGCCATCAGACTAGTCACACTAGTCACTTTGCACACCTCTTGAATCAGTTTCTCCACTCACCACGACAAAATCAGACTGGATCTGAAGAATGTGACACTAAAAACAGCCCCTGGGGTTTCCCAATATATGGAAGAGATAAAGGCTTCTAGAAGGAAACTTGTTCCGTCTGAAAGAAGGCAGGGAGGGGTCAGAGCCCTGCCCTGGAGGCTCTCCTCTCCAATTATGGTGCTAGGCATCCAGGACCACAAGACTCCCCGAGGCACAGCCCGAAATCTCTCGGACTAGGTAAAAAGGTAAAAACGGTAGGGACTTTTTCAGCTCTGCTTTCTTCAGTCATTGAGAATCTGCCACTTGTAGCAATAACCGAGATCTGCACCTGCCCCCCATCTGGTGCTGGAGGTAAGGTAAACCTAGCAAGAACTTGGAACAAGATAAAAGTACTTGCTTAGTGTATCCACAAAGGCACAGAAGGGCAACAGAATAACCATGTCCCCACCCAGCACCTCTCACACTGGCCCCTCCGCACTGGCAAATTCTTACTCAGAACAGCATCCCCATTTCATAGTTGCAGAAACTGAGGCTGCCCCTGGGCAAGCGTCGCCCAGCTAAGAAGCAGCAAGGCCCGGGCTCCCTGGGGCATCTCCTGCCTCCTGAGACGTACCTATTTCCAGGTAAACGGAGGAGACAACGAGGCCTGTGCAGGAGCCAGAAGGCGCGCAAACGACAAGCAAAACCACGGCAGCAGCCGCTCGGGTCTCCTCTCCTTCCTGGGCGAGGGGGCGGGGAGGAGCAGCGTTGACACCCTCCTCGCCTTCCTCCTTCTTCCCGCCTGCCAGCGGGAAGATTGGGAAATCTCAATTCGTCCTGCTTTCTCTTCTCGAGCGCTGACAATTTTTTCCACTTTACTGATTTTTTGGATGCCTTTCAAGAGTTTGTGCAATCATTCTGTTTAGCTGTTTTTCTGCCATTTTCAAAGGCGGGTGGTGTCCCTTTCTAGCAGGAACTGGGTGGTTTGTAAAGTCGAAGGGACCCTGTCTCCTCCCTTCAACCCAGTGCAGCAGGCCCTTTTGCTGCCAAAGTTACAAATGTTTGAAACTTTCCCCGCGCGGCGCTGGGTGTTTGGCTCGGTCCTCGCTCTCGCTCTCCGACCACTCCCCCCTGTGCTCTTGCTTTCAGGGGCTCACCCGCCCCTCGCTGTACCTTCCCAGGCTCGCCCTTCCCAGGGGCATCCTCTTACCTTCCGGTCCTGGGCCAGAGCCATCTTCTGTCCCGCCCGACAGGAGGGGACAGACCCCTCACTCCTTTCCAGATTCCTCAGGGACGAGGGTCCTACCCCCGTGCCCTCCCCCAAGGCATCCTCTCTCCCTCCCGTATCCCGAGGACCGCGTGGGGAGAACCCCGCCCGCAGCCCCTCTGGCGAGTCTGTAGGCTGGGCAGAGGCAACGACGGGGACAGGATGCGGACGGGGACAGGATGCGGACAGGGACAGGATGGGGACAGGGACTGGGGCAGAGTGATAGCGACAAGAACAAAAGCGAGGACACAGGCAGGGCAGAAACAGGGCAGGGCCGGAGCGGTGGCCCGCTTCTCGTCCCCGCCGCCCCCACGCCACGCCCGCAGCCCCGGGGCCGAGTCCAGCTCCGGCCACCCCGGGGCTCGGGCGGCGCCCCGCGGGACCCACCTGATCCGCAGAGCCCGGGCGCACTGGGGGCTGCACGGCGCCTCGGCCCCCGGCCCGGCGGCTCCCTCGGCCGCCCACACAGTCGCCGCGCCGCCTCTGCCGGAGCCCCGCGGGGCGTACCGGGGCGGGGTGTGCAGCCTGCGCTCCAGCGGGCGGGCCGCGGGGCGCTGCTCCTGGGCGGCGGGCGGCGGGCGGCGGGCAGGGGCGCGCGCGGGAGCCGGCGAGCGCTCGACAGCGTTGGCGCTCCCCGCCCGGCGCCGCCCGCGGCCGTGTGTGCAGAGCCGGTCCCGCCCCGGACACTGGCGGCCGGGAGGCCTGCGGCGCGAGTGCGTGAGTGCGGGTGCGTGTGAGTGTCTGCGGGCGGGGAGGCGGGGGTGTCTGTTTCATTTTCACTCAGGCAGAAAAAAGCCTGCAACCAGCAAAAAAAGAAAAGAAAATCCCTGGTGACGGTGGCTGGGCCTCTTTGCCGTCTAGGGCTGCACGTGGTGGGGGTGGCGGGGGGAGGGGGGAACCCGGAGCTTCGGAGAGTGGGGTGGGGTCTGTCACCCAGTACTGCAGGGAGGGGCCTCGGAGGCCCTGGCGCGCCGCCAAACCCTGGGGAAGCCCAGAGCCTGGGAGGTCTGATCCACCATTTGTTTCCTGGGGAAGGAAGAGCGCAGATGGGCGACAGCGACAGGAGGGCAGGCTGCAGCCTTCGAGGCTCTTGCCAGAGCCCCCCAGGTCTTGAGCTCCGGAAGTGGGGGCTGGTCACTGGGCACCTGGTGCGGGTCCTGCCCATGCTCGTTCACAGACTCCAGCCCAAGTTTCTCAAATGCCCTACACACCCCCCTGGGGTTCTCCACTGGAATTATTTTAAAAGGAGCACCCCCCCACCCCAACAACATCTATTGGAGAGTTTGTGCTTCTGCGCCGGGTATGACGGGCGGCTACTCCTGGTCAGTTGATGGAGGCACATCTGGCTGCCCTCCCTTAGCTTGCCCGCTTTGAGGAAGACAACAGGCGTCCTACTCCCCCTCTGGGGCCCCCGACCAGGTTTTTTGCGGGTGAACGGTCAAAACTTCCTTTTGCTCGGATCCTTTGCCATTGAACGTCAGTTTGAAGGACAGGGAAATCAGCTTCTTAAATATTTTAATGCATTGGATCTATACTTTGACGCCAGGAAAGTGGCACAAAGCCTGGGTGTAATGTACAATTGTTTCATGCTAACCAGAAGGGAACAGAAGCCTGGTTGGATCCTTGGAGGAGGCACAGAGGCTGTCAGTGGGCCAGGTGCCTGTCTTGGAGCTTGGCAGAATGAGGTTTCCTGATGGGTCTGATGTGGGAAAGAAAGGCAGAAGGAAATGTAGATAAAATTAAATGTCCTTATAACCTGCAGCCCATTAACAAACACTTGAGACAGGCAGAATATAACCTTCCTCCAGGAAGCTCCCTACTGTCTTAATGTTAATGACTTGCTAGAGGGAAAAGCAACCTTAGCTTGACAATCCAAGGCCTCTGGTAGCCTGTGAGTCTTTGGCACCTGAAAATCCTTTTGGAACTTCCGTTATCTTGACTTCCACCAGCCCCACAGTATATAATCTTGTTGTTCCTTACAACCCCAGAGCAGTAGCTCCTTCTGCCCATGGCTTCTGCCCTCACGCTTTAATAAAAACACCTTTTTGCACCAAAGATGTCTCAAGAATTCTTTCTTGGCTGTGGGCTCCAGACTTCACCAGCACCAGGCCTCCAAAAGCTACAACGAATGGTCCAGTGGAGTGAGATGGTGGGAGAAGGGAATCATCAGCCCCACACAGCAGCTCAGGAATGAGGAGCTCCCTGGCCATCGGCACAATGGGTCCTTTGCTAGAGCATAAATTGGGCCATTATTGTCTTTGGTGAACACACTTGTAGTCAGTAGTAAGAATCACCATAAATATACAATAAGTAATATGATACTAAATGCATTATTTCTGTTTCTCGTTACTGCATTGGAGAACGCATTGTTTAAGTTGCTCAGCCCATCAAACTGGATTATAAATGAGGTTTTTTGTTTTTGTTTTTAAGAAAACAATGAAGGTAACTCTGACCGTGGTTCAAGGGATAGCTCATCAAGATTAAAATCAAAAGACGATGACACCGGAAACATAAAACGTGTAAAAACATTACTCTGCTACCATTAAATTCCATGTCAGACATTGGATTTCAGCCATACATCATCAGTCGCATCCATTACATGTTGTTAATTTGGATTTTCTTGGTTTCACAGTTGTGTGTCTGTTTCCTTAGAAGATTTGTTGGGCTTTATGGTTGATTTCTAGAGCTGTGAGCTTGAGGAGTTCATGCTTAATTTAGTTTTATCGCTATTTCTGGAACCATAAGATAAATATAACTTAAGTCAACAGTGTGGGTCTGGAAGTTTTGTTTTGCTTTGAGAAGATCCGTGTAGTTCTCACAATTTAACCTCAGTTCTACTGACAATATCTGAGCTGGAAAACACCTTGAAAACTCTGCTCCCTGGGCTTAGGGTGGGGAGTTCTAGGTTTAAGTCTTTAGATTAGTCATTCTTCCCTTCGGAGTTTCATTTGCCTTATATGCAAAATGGCGTAAGATGACTAGATCTTGGGGGAGGTAAAATCAAAGTTGGTGACCTTGGAACGTGCTGCCATGTCCCAGGAGTGTGAGACTGGATTCATGAAGGGGAGGGGTGGGTCAGGTAGCGCTGACCACTTGTGGGCTTTGCTCCAAGCACTCCAGCCATACCTGACCCCCCACCCCCTTAATCAGCTCATCCTCATCACGTCCCCGTTTTCCAGGGAAGAAAGCCAAGGCACAGACAAGTAACTTTGTTCACCATCTCTCTAGGTATTGATGGGGGACATAAAAGGCAGAAGAGACATTACTAAATTTCCTTACTACTTGCAGCCCATTGATGGGTACTTCAAACAGGCAGAGTGACATTCCTCTAGGAGCTCAGCTGCCTCAATGTTACTACTTTGCTAAGGGCAAAAGGCAATCCTAGCCCAACCCCCAGGATCTTGTGAGTCTACTTTAACATATAAAAATTCCTTGGGAAATCCCCCAAGATCCATGTTGGCAATCATCCCCCAAGCATGTGACCTACCGATGTACATTTGAAGGGTCTCATGACTAAGGTTTTCTTAGACGGTAATAAATGACCTTTTCCCAACAAGAGCTAGCTCCCTCAAGGTCCTGGAAACCTTGCTTCCAAAATTCTTCAGAGACTTACACCACCCCTAACCTCCTCCCAACCTGAAAGTATCTAATGGGCCATTTCTCATGACCCCAGTGCAGCTCTTTCTGCCCACAGGACCTGTCCCCATGCTTTATTGACACCACCTTTTTGTACCGAAGAAGTCTCAAGAATTCTTTCTTGGCCATCGGCTCTGAACCCTAATGTCTTTCCTACATCAGTGTGGCCTAAGTACTCCAGGGCCCGGAGACCTTCCTCCCTTTACATCCTTCATTCTTGTAACAGATATTTCCTGGCATCCCGCTATGTGTCAGTTCCTCTTCTTCAAGTGGAGGAACCGAGGCACACAAGCAAGCCAGCTTCATAGCCCCGAAAGAGTCGGCAGTCCAGATGTTAAATCAACACCCACCCAATTAATGATTTCAGGAACAATGATCAGGGCTCTGAGGGAGAAGTACCCATGGAGAGGACTCTGAGCCTGGAAGAAGAAAGAGTTTGCTGGTTGAAGGGCTGGGAGGGGACCCAAGCAGTCATGTGCCAAAGTCCTGAGGTAGGAAGAGAAGGACCCATGTGTCTGCTGGGAAGCCTCACCATCGTAAAGGGCGCAATTTCTTCCCTTCAAGCCAACCTCTCCATCCAAAACAAAGCTCAATGGAGTTTTTGTAGACCTTGACAAGCTGCTCCCAAAGTTCATGTGGGAGAGCCAAGGGCCAGATTTAACCAAGACAGTTTTGGCAAAGCAGGGGTGGGGGGAGGTGAGCACTTGCTCACCCAGATATCGAGATGTACCATGAAGCTCTGACAGTGTGCACTGCTACGGGGATGGATTATCAGACCAATGGAAGAAAATAAGTAGCCTAGAAAGAGACTCACGTGTATGGAAAATCAGTGTCTGATGGAGGGGGGACTGCACATCCATGGGGGTAAGGAAGTGGGGAGGAAGAACAGAAAATGTTGCTGGACCCAAAAGGATGGAAAACAAGTATGCAGACAAAATTCTATACAGGAATGTCCATTACATCACTAGAATCAGGAAGAAGTGGAAACAGCCCGAGAGGCCTCAGCTAGATAGACAGAATGTGGCGCCTCAAGCCAGTGGAGTACTATTCGGCATAAAGAGGAGGGGAATATTGGGATTCCTGGGATAACAGGGCTGAACCCAGTGAAGGGCTAAGTGGGAGAAGCCAAATGGAAAAGGCCACCATTTTGTGTGATGCAATTTATATGACATTTACATGCCATTTTTTTTTTAATTTATTTGA